GAGGACAAGACTCCCTTTCCCCAAGTCTGATCATGATTTTATTCCTATGCTTATTTTTTTGGAGGAGTTGGAAATGATTGATAAAAATTATGTTCTTCCATGGACTCAGCTCTAGGCTTGAAGCATCTTCAATATCAGACCTCTATCCCTGATTTTTATTATTATTATCATTATCATTATAATTATTATTATTATTTTCATATGGGATGGGAACTTAGAGCTTTACCCTAAGATGTAAGGAATGAGACTTTAAGACATATTCAATCAATGCCATCACAAAAAAGGGAAATATTTCAGAGGTCGAGGGGGCCAGCTGCCTGGACACCCTTTCTACCCAGCAGTGGCCACCGCATTTGCTTCCTTTTTTCAGGGACATTTTCTGCAGCAGGGCCCAGGCCATTGTGGGCTTTGAGAAGAATGATATTCTGCCTTTTCAAGAAAAGGAGCAGATTTCCCAGGCATGCTTTGTGTCCCAGGCTCTTTCACTAATTGATAGAGTGGCGTACAGAGCACATTTCCATTCAAGCAGTCAGCACATGTCGGCTTGTACCTTCTCAAGTTTTTATTGGTGTTTTTTGGTTTTTGCTTTTTAAAAATTTCTCCTATGAAGTGAGACAACAGTTATTGTTAACAAAATAAAATACAACCAAATTCTTCTTAATGAAAATGTCAGTAGGACTTCTCTCTTCATGCTAATCTCCTGTTTGACACGCAATGACATCATTCCGCAGAAGCTGGGGACAAATGTAATGTCTGCTGTAATTACAGGCTTAATATGCACGATAAGGGAGGTGGCTGTGAGGTACAGGCAAGCCCTTCCCACTGTGCCCTCCCTGGGAATACAATTGGACCCACCAAAGCAGTGGTGGAGCCTTGCTGGGACAATACTGTTTTCAAAGAAGTAGAAATCAAAGCACTACCTCAGCCATGGATTCAGGCTTGATTTTCTGAAGCAAACTGTTATATTCTCAAGTGACCATTTAAATAAAATTGCATTTTTTTCATTCAACCAAGTCAAACTGTGGTGACACAAAAGACAGCATTTACACACATGAAACTCTCACTCACAAGCATGCAGAAACTAAAGGGAAAAAAGGAAAGGTATAATTCATAAGGTTTCCATCCAGTGACAATAAGAATGAACGTGGCACTTCTTTCAGCAGAGGCTAGAGGTTGGGAGAAGGGATTTTCTACAATACCATAAAGAAGAGAGGGATTTATATAAACTCTTGAAATGTGTAAAGTGCTGATTAGATAAAGACAAATGGAAATTTTTGGCTCCGTGCAACTTCAAGTAGAGGGAACTGATAATGCTATAAAGAAACCATAATCTTGAACAAATTATGGTTGAATAATAGTGTAGATTTTATAGAGTAGCAAGTGTTACAGGTCATTTGAACATTACAACAAGATGAATCAGCTCTTCCTGCCTGGCTAACGTTTCTTATTCATTTCATTGAACAGCAGGTTAAAAGCATTAACCATTAACAAAGGTTTTCTTCGTTTTTTAAAAAAGCACTTTTATCTAAAAATCTTTTTTTTAGAAGAGAACATATTTGGTAAAGTACACTATTGGTTTATAGTACAAAAAATATGCACATTATTTAAAATAAGAATAGTATGCTGTTTACCATGAAACCAATCGAGTTTACCAGAGAATTTGTTTTGTACAAATAACATGTGTGTCTCTCTTTTAAGAAATACAATTTTAAGGTGTATCCATGATGCCAAAATGGTACCAAATTCTATAAGTATTACACAAATTTTCACAAATAAAGATTATATCATTTAATTATTACTTTGAGCTGGAATTAAGAAGGCTGGTACAGTAATATAGAAGCAGAAGAGAAGGGCCTAATATATCCTTATCCACATTTATGAATTTCTGAAATATTCATCAAAGTACACAAAACCAGAAAAACTGACCATGGTAATTTAAAGAGATGGCCATATGCTAAAAAGTGGAGGGTGGAGGGTAGAGGGGTTCAGCGGGGAGAGGAAGAGCTGCACCAAAGGAAACTGAAATACACATTTTTGAACACTCTTGAACATACACTCTACCTCAAAACAACGGTACATATATGAACAAGAGCCAACATTTATAGAGCACTTACTATGTTCCAGCCACCCTTCTAATGCTTTATATGTCCTATAGCCACCGAATTCTCATAAATTCCCTAGAAGGCAGGTTTACAGATGAGGAAAACGGAGGCACAGGGAACTTAAGCGTGAGATGGATGGAGCTTACATTTGAACTTGGGCACTGTAGCTCCTGAGGCCCCATCCTTCACCATTCTGCTGGACTTGAAGTTTGGAAAGGGTTTGACTCACACTTCAAAATACCTGGCCCTAACTAAATCTCAGATGCAAAGGCCAGAAAATGAGGTCTCAGTGCCTTATTACTGGGTAACTGACACCTCCATTCCCTCGGCTCCCCACCCTTCCTCCAGCACTTCAGAGCCCAGAAGAGACTGGGGGTAGAGGAAAATCCACAGTCCTGCATTACAACCAGAGCTGAACGGTTTGTCAGGGAAAGCACTTACAAGCAGAAGCAGAGGAAGGAAGAACCCAGGGAGGAATACATGCTGGTGCATGGTCTTTCTTTCTCACATCTTATTTGTACAAAGAACTGCAGGCCCCATCCAATTCTCTATCAGAGGCAGAAGCTCTGACAGTGAAGACATATAATTTCTTCCCAGACCAGCATCCCACGCCAGCTTGCTGGACCATGGACCCAGGGTAGGGGACATAAACCTGAATCTGACTTTTAGGTTCTCATTATGAAAGGGTGAAAATGGCAGCACGCAAGTGGGCAGTGAGAATTGCTACAACCCTAACTGTTGGCAAATGCTGGGCCTGGACAGACCTCTCGCTATATAAGGAGGAGAAAACAAACAAAAATGGGAACCAAGAAAAGATTCTGCAGCACGAGACAGAAATGAGCATTGTCTTGAGACTTGGTGGAAAACCCTCTTTTTAAATACAACTTTCTCTAGGGAATAAAACAAAATAAAATTTTAGAAAACGATACTTGGTATCTACAAAAGATGGTAGGCATAGTCTCTCTGACATGACAGAGAACAATAAAAACAGATTGGGCTGAATACAGGACGAGATTTAAAAAGATGCCAGTGGCATCAACAAAAGAATTCCAGGAAAGACAAAATGCAACAGCAGAATTTAAATCTGCATCGGAGGCAGTAAAGAGCAGAACAAACACTGCAGAATACTGACAGTGTGCAAGACAAGCATGAGCTGTTCCCCTAGGACACATGGAAAAAGGTCAAAGAAAAAATGATGAGACAGAGGATGAGCACAACAACAAGTTCAATTGTAAGAATTATACATAGTTTTTAAGGCTAAACTCAGAGCCGTAGGAATAGAAACAATGAAAAGGATATATGGAAAAAAACTTTGCTACCTGAGAAAAAACAAGGTCTGCAAACTGAAAGGGTTCAGAGCACTTCACAAAAAAAGTTAATGATAAATACTTATATCTCTACATTTCTTTACAACATATTTTAATATCAGATAAGAGTAAGGAGAGTAGCCAAGATTTGGGAGTGAGCAAAGGACTAAGAAAGGTCATCTACATACAACTGAAGTTTTAACACCTTCACATAAAATCCTATGTAGAACAAGAAAGTCTGTTCTATATTAGACTTAATGGTGAAGTCAGGTTTTCTTTTTGCCAGTCCAAGGCCCTAGTTTCAAATAACATATGGGCTATCTGCTTCGGTCATATCCTCCAGGTGAAAGAAAAAGCATTTTTATATGCAAAAGTTGAGATTTTAGATACAGGAGGTATCAATGGAAGAGGCGTGGCCATGTAAACCACAAAGTAAATGACAAATGACAGACGACTGGAGAGGTTATTCAAGAAAGCTGCTTATGGGCCAGCCAAGTGGCGCGTTGGTTAAGAGTGGGCTTGGGACGCCAGCTCTGAGCAGCAGGGCCCTGGTTCAGATCCCACATTAGGGCCAGTGACGCTGCATCCTCTACAGCTAAGACGGTGAACAACAGCTCAACCTGGAGCTGGGCTGCTGTGAGTCGCCTGCAACAGCATAGGCTGCAGTGGGGCTGGCCGGCAGCGTGCGTGAGCTTTTGTGAGCTGCTGTGAGCCGCCATCAGCGGCCGTCCAATGGGCGGCGAGCGACTGCCTCACCTGGGAAGAGTGCAATGATAATACCAACATGGGCCAGTGAAGTGACATCCTCCACAACACTGAAGAACAAAAGGACAGCAACTTGTCTGTTCCCCTTCCCTGATTCCCCAGCGCTGTTCCCCTCCCCCAATTCCCCAATTAAATCTTTAAAAAAAAAAAAAAGAAAGAAAGCTGCTTATAATTGGTCTGAAAAAAAGACAACATCAGTAAGAGATGGCTGAACTAACAGAACCTTGACAATGGGCCGGGAGAGGATCCATGAAGCAGGCACAGGGGAGATCTTGGGGAGACAGTACTGAGCCTCAAGGCACTGTGTCCATAGGATATGCTCCAGAGCGACTCGGGACTCACATTTAGGTTACAACACAAACCGAATTCTGACCCAGAAATATTGGTTGTTTCACTTCTCTAGCATCGGGATTTTTGTAGCCCAGCAAATTTGTAATTAATTTCATGCCTTTCAGAGATTGATGAATATTCAAATAGTTCCATTTTAATTTCATTCTTAACTCAGAGCAAAATAGTGGAAACCTTACAAGAACGGTAATATCTTCATAGAAATAATTTTAAATCATGTCTATTTAATTGTCCCTATTTCCTAGGAAATTTGCTGCTGTAACCTCACACTGATCCCTGTGAAATTCCAGAAATACCTGTATACTCTAGAACCTGTAAAACTAGGCTGAATTGCTAATGTTGCATTAAAAGGGAAACATAAATACAGTGTCCAACGTCTAAAATATAAAAAACCTTCATCACAAATCTCAGCTCTGTAAAGTTCTCTCACTTTTCGCCTTACTAGGTCAGTTTCCTCTTTTACATCCTTATATAGTACCATGTTCTCTTCCCTGGTGCTTAGCACAGGTTGTGAAACATATTTGTGCGACTGATTAATGTCTGCCTCCTTACCTTGACTGAGCACTCCATGAAGACCATGCAGGGATTGTGGATTTATTTATTTTGCTTATTATTGTTAATCTCAGTATTTTGACACAGTATCAGAGCCCATAAGACAAGCAATTTGTGTTTGTGGAATGAATAGACAGATTGAGGGAACATGTTTTCATTCACTGTTCAGCCAAGTAAGTTATTGTATCTTAAGGATTACAAGGAACTTTATATAAACAACACAGCTTGGCTTTACACATTAGCTATGATTATTAACTTGGCATGAAAACCAATTTTTTTATATACTAGAATGACTTTTCTCACTATGGGTTGATACTATATCACAGAATATTAAATATAAAAGGAACGTTAGCGATGATAAAACTGAAGTTCATAAATGCTAAGGAATTTGTCCACAAGAGCGCAAATCTATTTAGCAATAGAACAGGAATTAGGGTGCAGATTTTCTACCCTCACCCCCACCCTCCAAGGGTTCTGTTCATTGCTTCTCAAAGCAGCGGCTCTTAACCAGAGCTTCTAGGTTGACAAGTCTCTGAAAGTAACTGATAGCTTACAAAGAAGCATTTGCCACACCTCATTGTTTAAAGGAAATCTGTAATTTAAAAAAAGTTGTTTGCAATATAATCACTGCAAAATTTTCAGATTTCTTATGCGGCTTATTTTTAAACCTAAGAGCTAATTACACTTTCTCAAACCCATGACACTTCATTATTCATTGTCACACTTGCGTCCTAAGTGCCAGGCACTGTTCTAAGACTCTTTACCAAGGGACATTAGCCTAAGGCCTTCTTAGTTCTATGGTTAAGAGATAATTGCATTCCTTTGCTCTTATCAGTCAGTTGCAATTGGGACGGAGCCATTTCTGAAAAGTCAGAATCCTAGAAGATTAAAAACTCCAGCCCTGTGATTCAAGCTCTTTGGCCTCCATTTTTCTCATCTGAAGTAGGTTTTTATTTGGTTGTTTTTATCTTTTCTTTCTCTTTAAGTTTTAAGTTGAAGCTTTTCGGGGAAGGGGGGAAACTAGTTTCATATTTTTGATGAGTCTACTTACCAAGCATAGAAAATCCATTTGCTAGCTAAAGGATTCCAGCAACAGAAATTTCTATCTGATGATGGAATCATATTTTTGGATGACCCTGGAGTGAGTCAATTTGCCAAATTATTTCACTTACATTTATATGCTGGAATGTTATTCCAAAGGCTCCAAATAGTCTCTGTTCTATGCATAAAACAATAAAGCAAAAATAAGACAGTATAATAATATGTATAACTAATACATAATGTAATGTTTCTTTTCAAAGCAGACACCGATCTGATTAGATGTTTTAAAATAACTCAAACCAGCATTATTTGTAGAAAAGAAGGCTGTGATTGGAGAGTAAGGAGGGCATATTAGGAAAAAGGGGAAGAAGAAAAGGGAAACAGGAGAGAAAGATGGTATTACACGGGTGAAAAGGCATGAGTGATATAGATGAGAAAACAGTAGAAGGAAAGGAGGTAAACCCACATAAAAATGACACTTTCTCATCAATAGATATTTGCTAATGTTATAATAGATATGTTATAATGATATAATAGATATGTTCTAATGTTTCTTTAAAAGGGAACGATGTTTTTGAAATAACGTAAAAGCTAAGTCACTCGCACACATATAATTACATATGTGCATGCAAATATTTACATAACTTTAGCTATACAACCTGTCTATTTCTAGGCTCTAAAGCTATTCTGGGCAATCTTGAAGTACAGGCAATAAACCTTTAAAAATGATCTCAAGTCTCATTTCTTTTATCACTTGGTTGGGTTTTTGTGTTTATTAGCTCATTAGGAGGTAAGATGATGTGTAGAGAAGACAATTATCTATTTTAAAAATAAAGTTTTCATTTGCAAGAGATATAAGAAGCAGGAAGGAAAAATGGTTGGGACTTAGGGGTGGGCTGCACTGGTTGTATATGCAACAGGACAATGTGAATGAAATGGGCTAAGGCATATTTTGCAAACTCTTGAGATTATTTTTTAAACTATCTAGAAGACTGCAGTGTTACTTTCTCCACATTTCCCTCTTCCTCTATAGCAGTCTTGAGTTCTTCTCCAATATCTAGAACCAATGAGACATTTTCAGAAGCAGTATAACAGCCAGGGACATCCACTGTTCTAGATAGAAATACAATCATGTTAGTAGTATGGACGCCACCTTTCTGACAGTCTAGTGACCATTCAAGTTCATGATGAGGACCTGAGGCACAGGGGGCTCTCCTGAATCGTCCAAGGAAGGCTCAGTTAGGCTGTTCTGAGTCTGGGTGCCAAGTAGGTGGCAAAGTACGTTTTTTTTGGAGAGTGCATCTCTCTTGGCCTGTGTTTCAATAAAATGACAATATTTGCCCAAGGAGTGCAATACTTCTTTGTAAAAAACTCTTTGAAAAAAACAAAAAACAACTCTTTGAAAATATCACTCGATTTGGGAGGAAGAAGGAATAACAGATTTCTAAGTGCATGCTTTCTATAAATAGTTTAAATATATCCTGGGCTAACGTATAAATTTGGTTTAGCAATTCTAAGTCAATTCTAGATAAATTTGAGGTAGTCGTATAACAGAAAGGGCTATATCATTGAATTCTAAAACTTCAAAAAAATAATAATCCCACATTGGCAACTCTCTATTAACTAGACTATTTGATAAATAAGACCACCATAGTTCCCATCCATAGAAACAGTATCATTAATGTTGTCATTGTACACAGATTATTTCATTATTTCATTTTGGTTTTAAAACACTCTGGAAGGGTTCCTATAAAAATGATATTACATGTAGGTTTTAGCGCGTGAATTAAACATTTTTGAAAACATGATCAAATTAGGGATAGGACCTAATTTGAAATTGTTACCTTAAAGGCATTAGATACCAACAATCACATGATGTATTAGCATAAAAATCACTTTTCCTTCTGGATAATCATAGCTTTCTGATGATTACCTGCATGCAAGTTGTACACTGTCAGTAATAATTTGATTGGAGCATGGCTTCCCAAGGGAGTTCATATCTGCATGTGCTGACTTGTTAAATCACATTGTGCTAATTGATGGTTCACATGACAAGATACGCATAGCTGATCATGCTCATTAAAATGGAGGCCATTCTCAATTAGCCATAACAAACGATGTACCTGGCACTTTGAATCCACTCAACCTACAGATGATCCCCAGAACTCATGAAATTCAATCTTCAGCCTCCTTCCAAAGATCTGTGCCTAAGTTGCTAAGCTGAAGCTCAATGCAGCACCAAACATCAATGTGGAAATTCTAACTATAATGGAAAAAATGCAGCTAGTTCCTGTTTGGCATTATGTAGATAAAACACTCACGAATTTGACTTTTGAAACACTTTCCATGCAGGTGTTTGGCATTGTGCAAACACCAGTAAGTTTTGTCTTGATTGGTTTGTCTGCAAGGTAAAGACAGATGGAAAAAGCAAAGAGCCAAGAATTCCCAAAACAGGAAATCAGCCTGAGTGTCACAAAGCTGTGCATATTCCCCTAAAATTAATAATCCTCTCAGAACGGACAGGCAGGTTTTCTAAACTAAATTCTTTCACTGATATTTTAAAACCTGGATTTAAAACCATTTTAAGCTGGACACAGTTCCCTTCTACATGTCAGTAATGAGAAAGTTCCATAAAAATTCATGGAATCATAGAATATAAACACTGGAAGGGACTCTGAAATCATTTAGTCCATCCTTTCCCTAATTATGTTCTAGAGAAATCTAGATCCCTGAGAGAGAGTGATGTTAACAGTGACTAGTAAAATAAGTTAAGGAAATTTATGGTTATACAAAATTAAACACGTTTACTTATATGCAGCTACATATATTAGGGCTCCTCAAAGAATAAGATCTATTATGTCTAGATTCCCAGACTCATTTCATGATGGAATTCTTTCCCACTGACTATCTGTTAATGGTTTACAGAACGAATAGCTGGCAGAACCAAGCTTCAGGTGCCCTGATCTAGCCTCAGCCCTTTATTTTGCTGAAGAGAAAAGGCCTCACAGCAACTTTTCAGGGGGCTACATGAGCAACAGTAGTCTCAGGTGCACCCAGAGCTGCTGCATTAGGTCAGGCTTCCAGGGCTCTGGAGAGGAAACGATCCTGGGAAGCAGCTCACCACACAAATCCACAACCTGTCTCCCAACACAGGAACAGCTAAATCAGCACTCTCCAAAGTGTCCACTCTAGCCTCAGGGCAGTGAACCAAAGACTCAAACTTATTTCCATCGAACTTTCACTTTCACGATCTCTCCCAAGGGTCTTCAGAGTCTGCCAATGGACAATATTCCAGCACTGAAAGACGAAGACAATCTTGAAATCAAGCCGATACATTCAGTTCAGCAGTTTGGGTCTCACCTGCTTTCAGAGGGGGTGAATCCTTAAAATAGTAATTCAGTCTTTTCATAATTAAGTAAAGAGCTTCCCTTAAACTATAGCTCCAAACTAGGGAAATTAATTCAGTTTGGATCCAAAAGTCCTTGGTCACAAAGAGAATCCAGTGCACTAGATGTGTTGTATTTCTGCTTCAGTTTGCGTAGATAATATGATTTTAGTGCATATTTTTATGCACATACCTTTTTAAAAATAGCCTCAGCGAACAGAATGTACAGAAGTACCCTCCTGCAAAATTCTCATTTGGNCCCCCCCCCACCTTTGCTTCCTGTGGTTGTGGCTTTATTGTGGCCTCTGCTCCTGACACCTGCATTTCATTTAGCGGCAGAGGCGGTGGCTAGCTGGGATCTGCAGACCCAGCCTGGTGACAGATCCCTCAAGGTTAGAAGAGACTCTCCCACTGGGTCTCGAATCAGATTCACATTATTCTCTTAAATTAGCTCAGAAAAGAGTCTGGGCCGTATGCGGGAGGGGGCGGGGGGAGGTGGGTGCCGGGCGCGCCCTGGGTGGGGTCGTGTTTGTACGTCTCACTGAGCGCGTTCCCTGGGGGCGCAGGGCCTCTTACCGAGCTCGATGTTGCCTATGGCGCGTCGCAGGTGCTCCTCGGTCACTATCTCGCCGACGACCACGAGCAAGTAGAACTTGCTGTCGAGGAAGCGATGCGACAGGCTGGGCGAGGTGGACGCCGCCGGGTTGGCGATGCTGCCGGACAGCTCAGGCTCCCCGGCTTCCACCACCACGGTCGCCATCCTGACTGCCCGCTTTGCCTGGGCGAAGCGTCCCGCTCCGGCCGCTCCTCTCCTCTGCGGCAGGAGAAAGGATTATCGCCGAAGGTGCTGTCTCTGCTCCGCCCCCTGCGTCCCCCCTCCTCCTGGCGCTGCGCGCCGCCTCCCCCTCCGCCCTCTCCAGAGCGCACGGCGGAGAAGAGTGGGGAGTGAGAGTGGGCGGGGAGGCGGCGCCGCTTTTATATGGAGACTAGGCAAGGAGCCCGGGAGGAGGAGGAGGAAGAGGAGGAGGAAAGGACCACCCGGCACATCCTCACGCGGTGGCTGCCTCGGCTCTTCCAGCCGTTGGCCCAGGGCTGATGTCATCTGCAGCAAATCATCTCGCTCGAGGCCCGGAAGCCGGAGGGATGAGGTGTGCGGACAATGGTCAGGGCAGGGCTGTGAGTCAAGGGGTTGGGGAACCCGGAGGGCCCCTGCTGCAGCTGGGAAAGGGAAAAACACTCCAACCTACGCCCCACACACACCCACGGCCCGCTCCAAACCCTCACCCCGTTTGTATAGTAGAACGGGATGGGTTTCCCTGTTCAGAATGTGGGTATTTACCTTACAGGAGGTGCACGAGTCAGGCTTCTGCCCATGTCCTGTCTGCGAGGAAGCCAGGTTCTTGGGAGTTATGATAGCCCAGCAGGCATGGTGTTCAGGGTACCCGGCCCAGGAACATACAACCTGNTAACCAACTGAGCCACTCGGCCGGCCCTTGTTTGTTTTTAATTTGATAATTTTATTTTTAAATCATGTGTAGACTGTCCCGTTGAATTTTCTGTAAGCAGTTATCTCACCAGTTCTGACTACAGTCAAATCTTTAACACAGGTTGGAATTGTTTATTAAAATAACATTATTTTTGTCTTGTGTTTCTGTTAATTTCTCTAGTCCCTGTGGTCATTTTTAAGTGTACTTCCCCAGGGGCACTTTTTTCTTTCTCACATTTCTCTACCACCAAGGAAATCTGACTTCCCAGGCAAGAGAAATTACCGGTGGACCACAGCAGAGAAAACATCTACCAACAGCAGAGAAAACAAAGGCATAAGCCCTGGAGTATGATGTTTTGGGACACTTGATGGTTGCCTGGGTAGCATTTAATTAGTCCTGGGTTTCAGCTGGGGGTGGGGGAGTTGCTGGTACCTGGGTAACCTTTGTCACCGTGACTAAATCTAGGCTCAAACAATCAAAATGCAATGCTTGTTATGAGCCCCATTCTCACCCCTTCACTTCATTAGAAATTTGAGTAAATCTCAATCTCTCCATCTCTTTCCTCTCTCTCTCTCTCTCTCTCTCTCTCTCTCATGTACACAGTTTGTAAATTAAGAAAACAGTCTTTTAGTGTTTTGTAAAGCTGTAATGACATTTTCCCAACTAAATTATAAACAGTGGTGATACCTTATTCTTCCATCTAGTATTCCTTTACAATCCCCTGATTACTAATAAGCACTCAAAAATAGTACTATTTTTTTTAAAGAAAGCTATTAATTTATGCCTTCTTCCTCACTGTCCACCATTATTTACAGCATGCAGCCATAGATGCTGAACAAAACGCCCCAGAGACAAAAACGCAAAAGCAGGCAATAAAGAGTAAAAAGACTGTATGTGCTTGGTGGTTTACTGATGTTGTGTACTTAAAAACAAACAACGACAATAAACTTTCTTTGGTCTCTGGAAATGAAGACAAAAGCACTGACCATCAGCATGAGATGCTGTCCTTGGTTGGCAGTGTTAGCAGCTGTTGTGGAATGCACTTGGGTGGATTGAATGATGGGTTAGTGACATTCCCCAAAATGGCCACTGGGCCCAAGCAGCCAATTTTCTGCCACCTTCCTGCCTATGCGTGTCTATGTTGAGCAGTCCCACAGGCCCATTAGGAATGGCTTGAGAGCCATTATAGTTGGTGGCATAAACTATCCTTTTTACTCAAAAAAAAAAANTTGGTTAGCCTGAGGTACAGTTTATGCAGAAAAGGAAGGATAAGTACATGAATCTTTCTCTTTATTTATTAGTTTTCAAAATAATGAATTCATTCTATACCATTCTCCAAAAGTGATTAGTAATTTTTGTGTCATTAAAAATATAATTTGGCTCTTCATTTCTGTGGCCATCGCTAAAGTATCAGCAGCCAAAATGAAGTTCAACCCCCTTGTAACTTCTGACCGGAGCAAGAACTGTAAAAGCCCTTTCAGTGCACCTTCCCACATTCACAGGAAGATTATGTCTTCCCCTCTTTCCAAAGAGCTGTGACAGAAGTACAGTGTTCGATCCATGCCCTTCCGAAAGGATGATAAAGTTCAGGTTGTAGGAGGACACCACAAAGGGCAGCAAATTGGCAAAGTAGTCCGGGGTTACCAGTAGTCCTGGGAAGACATGTCATCTACAATGAACGAGTGCAGTGGCAGAAGGCTAATGACACAACTGTTCATACGGGCATTCACCCCAGCAAGGTGGTTATCTCTAGACTAAAGCTGGACAAAGACCACAAAAAGACCCTTGAACGTAAAGCCAAATGTCACCAAGTAGGAAAGGGAAAGGGCAAATATAAGGAAGAAACAATTGAGAAGATGCAGGAATAAAGTAATCTTATATAGAGCTTTCATTAAAAAACATTAAAATGAAAAAAAAAGGAATATAACTCGAAGTCATTATTCATGTTGATATTTTAATTTCCCCATCTTTGGCCAGTGATATAAGATGTTCCCAGCTCACCTTGTCCATATCTGACCTCAGAACCTGGAATTAGCCATTTCCCTAACCCTGGTTCCTTAAGTGGGAAGTGGTATTTAGAGGCCATAATCTGGATACCAGGAGTGACTTGTTGCTGCTATCTTGGTCATTGTTTCTAGATATTTTCAGCAGACAGGACTAGAAAATAAATTTTTTTGAAGATGAAATAATACATTATTGAGTTCATACTATACTTCCAACTCAGGATCAGGACTACAGGGGTTTCGCTTAACCTTCATTCTTACATCAGTGTTACCTTTGTCTTATGCCAAGAATTCCAGCTCTCAAAGACATCAAGGGTGATAGAATTAGAAGAGCAGAGACTTTCTCATTTTCTTTACCTGATAATATATACAAATTATACTCACAATAGTTTCAGATAAAAATGGACTTACCAACAATGTGATTACAAAAAGCAGTTTAAATTTTTTGTGGCATTACGTTTGTAATTCCACAAAATTATCACATGTATCTCAATGTATCACATTAGAGAACCAAAATTCCCAGTTGTCAAAGACACCAAAATGATTACATTTTTGTTTTATCCCAAAATTTATACATAAAACTCTCAGGATAACAATAAAAATGCTACTGATATCAATAGGATTACTGAAAACAGTTCAATATTTTTTTGGAAAAAATTTTTGTTATTAATTATAACCCAAAGTGATACAGTTTTAAAGTCACTGAATTAATTCTTTTTTATATGATTATGCCACTAACGCAATATATAATTAGGTTTATATGTTTCATTTTTGTTTTTTTATACTTAATTTTGCTTTATAACTATGTAAAATATTTGGTTCCAAAGTCATATTTACAAAATAATTGCATTTAGAGAACTTAACTTTCTATCCCTTCGTCCTCTACCCTGTTCCTTCTCTGTCCCTATAAATAACTCTTTTCCTTGGCTTAGCTTTTCGTTTTTAAAATGTTTATCTTTTAGATAAACAACAGCATATACACACGTTTTTNAGGACCCTCAGTTGCCCAACTTGCCCTTGGGTCTCATTGTCTTTGTGAGGCTAAATTTGTTTCTCTCCTGTTAATCTCTCTTACGTCAATTTAATTAATAAACCAGCTCAAGGAACCTACACGGGCAGGGGAATTTTTTTTCCTCCCCTACAGCATAGCTAGATTTATCAGTGAGAAAGCCGACTCCCACCCTCACCCAACAGCATCCTCACATGGGCACCGACAGGACCACTTTGCAAATGGTCTTCATCCCTGCCCTAATGTTCTGCTATGCCAGCACCTTAATGCATTGCTTCCTTTTTGCTCTCACACCCGAAGGACCTTCCTAAACTCAGTCATAGAATGTTGCTGCCCCTACACATGGCCAGCAGCTATGTTCCTGCTGATAATGCTGAATGCAAAATTGTTTCTCTGAAAAACATCTTTCATACAAATGTTAATATCATTACAGGAAGGAAGCCCACCCATATTGGAAGCCATGGACGCCAGTATTTCCCATAGATAATAACAATCACCAACTAGACAAGTCAAATAGGTTTTCAGCAAGGGAGACAGTTTTAACACTAGCTCATGTTTATTGCTTCGCCATGTGACAGGCAGTGTTTCAAGATCTTTACAAACATTAACTCATTTGATTCTCATGAAAATTCTATGAGGTAGAAGTGATCGTCCCTGTTTTACACCCAACAAGATGGAGGCATAGGAGGGTTAAGTAGCTTGTCCAAGGTCCTATAGTAAATAAAGTCAGAGCTAGGATCCGGAATCTGCACTCTTTAACATTATGCTATGTTGCTGGTGAGAATTTGGGTTCTCAAAAATGTTTCATTATTTTAATAGGCAGAAGTGGCACAATGATGGAAAAAAAATTAAAATGAATTTTCCCTCTAGCGTCCCTTGTACTGGGAATGGTCTGTATTTGTTGGTTGTTTTGAAATGATATCTAACATAGATAATCATGGGACATTTCATGATTCAATAAAGGATCACAAACATTTCAGGATAACAATAAAGGTATCCTCCTTTATTGTTATACGTAGATAGCTCTCAGGTTAAATTAGGGAAAGAAGCAAACAAGCACAGAGAATGAACTAGCTCTACTCTTGTGGTGAGGCTTATAAAAATGATTCTCATCCAATATGATTAAGGTACAAGAAACACAGTATGATACATAAAAGTTTTATGATAGTACGTAAATTCATAAATATAAGGAAACATAAGACTGTCGCTCTATTTTGAAAAGGCTCACTTGTTGAACTTTCACCTGAGTGAAAGCCTGAGAGTAACTAACCTTTACTCTCAAGAAAACTGGTCTCCCTTGAGCCCGCCCAGCTTAGATGTGGCCAGGAATGGTTTTACATCAGGGCAGAGCAGCAGACAGACACCTGCTTTGGGCACACAGCAGATATCTGTTGAAAGATCTTTAGGGAAGGCAATGTTGCAACAGGTTTGAGACAGTCAGATGGCCCTAGATGACTGACCATTCCAAGAATCACAGTATGCCACGTTGGATGGGGCCTAGTGATCCCAGGGCTCACAGTCTGGAGAACTGAAAGGGTATTTGTTCACGGTGACTAAATCTTTCAGAGTGGTCTTGAATGAGACCTGCAGTCCTAAAGCAACAGGCAAAATGAACCTCAAAACC